AAGTTGTCGCTTGTAGATCTGTGTATCATGGTTTTGTTGTATCTTACCGTAAAATACTTTACTTTAGCAGGAACTAATTTTTGCTGAATAAGCTTGTTGGGTGTTTTGTGTGGAATTTACTTTCCCTGATTTTTGATGAGTTGAATGTAAAATATAGGAACAACAGTATATTTGCTGGATTTTATTTTCACTGAACCAGTCTTTCAGCAAAAATAGCAAAAATTAATTCCCAGTGAAAATAAAGTATTCTACAGTAGTTGTTGGATTCACAGGGTCTATTTCATTCAGTTGCATGCATTTATCTCAATCCAGTGTTGTATGACATCACATGATGTCATATCTAGTGATGGAATAGTCTGGTATTTGTGAATACTAATGCAATGGAATGGTCGTCACATGCTTCAGTTATAACCTGGTCTTGAGTTGATCCCGATGGTGAAGCAATGTATTGAACACCACTCTGAAAATATAACAAAAATTCCACTCAGTTAAACCAGTTCTAGACCAGTCTAATTCTGTTTGAAATTTGCCTAAACTAGTCTAGTCCTGTGTAAACTAGCAATTTGTCTGAACCAATATACTAGTAACCCTGTATAAACTAGAAACTGGTATAATCTTGTCTAAACCAGCAACTAGTCTAAACCAGTCTCACCCTGTATAATAAAATGGCAATGTCTAAACCAGTCTAACCATATATAAACTGGCAATGACTAAACCGGTATAGCCCTGTATAAACTAGCAACCAGTCAAAACCGGTCTAACCCTGTATTAACTGGTAACCTGTCTGAACCAGACTAAAACTGAATAAACTAGCAACCTGTTTAAACCAGTCGAACCTTGTATGAGTTAGCAACCTGTCAAGTGTCTAAACCAGTCTAGCCCTGTATAAACTAACAACCTGCCTAAACCTATATCAACTAGCAAACTGTCTCGGTTTAACCCTGTATAAACTGGCAAACTGTCTAACCCTGTATAAACTTTCAATCTGTCTAAACCAGTCTAACCCTGTATACACTGGCAAACTGTCTAACCCTGTATAAATTTCAATCTGTCTAAACCAGTCTAACCCTGTATACACTAGCAACCATTCTAATCCTGTATAAACTTTCCTTCTGTCTAAACCAGTATAACCCTGTATACACTAGCAACTGATCTAACCCTGTATAAACTTTCCATCTGTCTAAACCAGTCTGACCTTGTATAAACTAGCAATGGTTCTAACCCTGTATAAACTTTCAATCTGTCTAAACCAGTATAACCCTGTATACACTAGCAACTGATCTAACCCTGTATAAACTTTCAATCTGTCTAAACCAGTCTAACCCTGTATACACTAGCAACTGATCTAACCCTGTATAAACTTTCAATCTGTCTAAACCAGTCTAACCCTGTATACACTAGCAACTGATCTAACCCTGTATAAACTTTCAATCTGTCTAAACCAGTCTAACCCTGTATACACTAGCAACTGATCTAACCCTGTATAAACTTTCAATCTGTCTAAACCGGTCTAACCCTGTATACACTAGCAACTGATCTAACCCTGTATAAACTTTCAATCTGTCTAAACCAGTATAACCCTGTATACACTAGCAACTGATCTAACCCTGTATAAACTTTCAATCTGTCTAAACCAGTCTAACCCTGTATACACTAGCAACTGATCTAACCCTGTATAAACTTTCAATCTGTCTAAACCAGTATAACCCTGTATACACTAGCAACTGATCTAACCCTGTATAAACTTTCAATCTGTCTAAACCAGTCTAACCCTGTATACACTAGCAACTGATCTAACCCTGTATAAACTTTCAATCTGTCTAAACCAGTCTAACCCTATATAAACTAGCAACCTGTCTAAGCTGATATGAATTGGTCTAACTCTCGAAAAAAACACATTTCTGGCACAGTATTGGTAGACATATCAAAGACTCACCTGATATGCTCTGTCAATATTATCACGGAATGGAAAGAATGCATCAGAACTTAGTGCTACACCTTTCAGTTTTGATAACCACTGCTCACGCTCAGACTGCAGTAAGAATAACAAAGCAATCATTGATATATTTGAAAATTGATTTCAAAATACTGTATTCAATACAAACAATGAATTCAGAATTTATAAATAACCAATGTATTCTGACGAAGATGAGTGAACTCTCCTAGAGTAAAATGAAGGTAACATGCATGGGAATCAAAGTACATGTAATTTCAAACATTTTCGTTATTTGTATCACCATTCCAACCAATACCAAAAGTCATGGTTCAAACCTTGCTTGGCCAACTTTTTAATTGTTGCAGAAAAACTCACATTTACTTCAAAAATTCCAAACCTTGACAATTGGTCAATCACTAAAGTTCAGAAGTGCTCGACACAGAAAATTAACAAAGAGACAAAGTATAGAGTGACACTCAACCAGGACATTGTGTCACATGACCAAGAGTGGCATAAATGCAGTTAGTACCTGTGTTAACTGTTCAGGTGGTTTCTCTAGCATACTCTCCCATGCAGATGTCTCCATATCCTACAAAAAAAAAATATTAAAATATTCACAGAAATCATAACAAGAAGTTATAATTATATTTATGTTAATTTCTAAATCCAGTCTCACCTGTCCAACTGTTTCATTTACATAATTGTCAATTGCATTAGACTTCTCAGCTCTCTTTACTCCTTTCTTAAAATGCATTTCAAGTACTTTGGGATGTTGACGTAACCACCTAGCAACAGAATATAGAAGAAATTATCAAAGCTTTATTCAAGTCAATACATTCAAAGTACTTTGAAATGTTGACGTAACTACCTAGCAACAGAATATAGAAGAAATTATTAAAGCTTTCTTCAAGCCAATGCAATCCAAGTACTTTGAGATGTTGATGTACCACCTAGCACAGATATAGA